AAACCGACTACTTTGGTTTTGGTTTGGTTTGGGGTACCCCTACTTGGTGTCTTCATAACCATTCATTTTGATTTTGTTTTATCATGATCATCTAACTTTATATTTAATGTTGCTATGACAACTGAATTTAATATAACGTTTCATCATAGCCAGAGACGGACCCAGCACCCAGCCAGGGAGGCAGCCGCGCGTGCTGGGCTCTGCCGGAGTAGTTTGGGATTGTCACCGACAACCACCTGGTTCGTCTTCTTCCTCCAACCCTGCTGCAATCCCTTTTTTTGGGTTTGAGATTAGGCCAATTTGGCAGCCCAACATTTTTTTTTTGTAATTGGGCCAATAAGGCCCACCTTTGCTACCTATGTGTCTTAAATCTTATCTTCACTCCATTCCTCTCTGAAATTCGAAACCCCTACACGTTAGAAGTCTAAATCTTCCACTGCCTTCCTTCAAGCTCCAACTCCATTTTGCATAATCATCACCACAATAATCACTACCAAGTATCTTTGTAGAATCTTCATAGAAGAAACTATTTTCACCCCACGAAGTGTTTAAAATGGTGTTCTTAGTGTTGATGAAAATAGAAGATAGAAAGAGAATTGAAAAAGGAAGAACGGTCTTGAAGAATCATCTTCACCCAAGAAAGAAAAGAAGTCGACATCAGGCTGGAAATCGATGAGAAAGGTGAAATTCGCTCTCTGGACACCATTTTTTATGGGTATGTTGATTATGATATAAATTGGGTTTTATGACCTGATTTGGGCAATTTGTGACCTATTTCTGGTAATTTGTGATCGAAATAGCATTTTGTGACCTATATGAATCGGGTTTTATGACCTGATTTGGGCAATTTGTGACCTATTTTGGGTAATTTGTGACCTAAATAACATTTTGTGACGTGAGTAATGTTTTATACAATGTTTGGATATTTTGTGACCTCAATATTTTGTGTTTTGGGCATGATCGGCTTTAGGTTTCGTGACTTGATTTTACCTTCACATGATTTGGATAATTTGTAACCTATTTCTTCATCTTGGATTCTTGATAAATGTGACACGATTTTGCTTTATTATTAAGTGTTGGTATGCTCTCTGTTTATTGGTATACTGTCTTTTATGTAAGTTAGGTTTTATGACATTGTTCTAATAAATTTTGATAGCTTTTTGTAATGAAATGCGACCTGATTTAGATAGCATGTGACCTGAACTTGATAAGTGTGACATGTTTTGTTATATTATTACTTGATCGTTTACGTATATATCGAATACTTTTTAATATTATGTAATTAAATATTAATAAACGAACTCGTTTTTAAGATCACTGATTGTTGATGTTGACTGATCAACGTTCGCCCGGCTGAACTTTGACGCTGGATCCGTCCCTGATCATAGCACAACCTTTTCTTAACCCTCTTCACTAATTTTAAAAGGGATAATTGGTAACTTTGCCTTATCTATATAAAATAAATTTTAAAAAAACAAAAATAAAAGTTTCTATAAGCAAATGTAAAACTTGACGTACCTTAATGTAGAAGGAAGGAAGCAAAAAAAAATAATAAAAAACCCACCGGAAAGGTGACGCTTTTGTCCAATCAAAACTCTGAAACACCTTTTTCGCTTGAATTACATTGGCTGGCTCAAATGAGGCAAATAACATGATCCATAATAGGAATTTACAACTGCAAAACATTATTGTTCTTATTTCTTTCCAAATAACTGCAAATTTTATATAAAAAAAAAAAACTGCAAAATTAATATTCCAGACATGCCCAACTGATTCAAAGCTCCAGATTTGCATTTGTCCTAAACTTGCAGAATTTGTTCCATCTCCAGCAATTCTATGTCGGGTTCCTCATCAATATTTGTTGTTGTAGTCATAGATATGTTAAGAACAGGAATCGTTGGCAGTAGAAGTTGAACACTCAGCTTAAAACTCCTCCACATGCTAGATATACGTGCAGTGCAAAAGGAGAGCAGCAAAATTGTGGGATAGATACACCAAAAGATATCTTGTGGGAAGAATAGTGAGGCCAAGAAACAAACCAATAGGGAAACTGAGTAATTCTTGAGTTGAATGCGTATGTATCCCATATCAACTTGAGGTGTCAATGGGATTTCAATGGAGATGAAGGAGAAGAGAAAGAAAAAGCTAGTGAGAAGCCAAAACTTGATCCAAGTAAAGTTTCCAATTACTATACCAAACGGATCCCATTCCCATGTCATGGCAGTATATGATTTCAATATGTTTACGACAGGGAGGGCAGCGTATCTTAGATCAAAGTACGACATAATTATTCTGCAGGAATTGGGTGAGAGAAATTAAGGAGATTGATGAATTGTATTATATGAAGATGAAACAGTCTTTTAAGCATATAGATTTGAGAAATTTCTTAGAAAGAGTTACAGTCAATAGTAAAGATGCCGATAGGAGTATAAGGAATCTGTGATGGGATTGGATTAATTAATTAATGCGAGTGGATTTATTGTCATCAGACCTTTAGGTTGCAGCCAAATGCACGACACAACACCTCAATAAAAAGGTCAAAAAAAAACCCCACCTCTCGTGTGAGTGAGTAGTCGTCGATCACACTAAATTTTGATATCAAAAAATTTAACATATTGTTCGATTTTCATATATTAGCCACACAATGTTTAATTTAGTTTTAATCAATTAAATTCAATCAAATTATAGATAAAGGGGTAGACAAGATTAGTGGTTAGAATATTAAAGCAAAATGTCCGAATATTGTTGGATTATCTGAAAAATTACACTTTCGATGAGGCATTTAGAATGTTATCACTTCCAAGTCAATTTCTATTAAAAACCCGACACTTTTGGTGAAAACTTCAACTTTATAAAAGTGTATTTTAAGAATATGCTTTATTCATTCTAAATAGCTTTGCCACTGAAATATTCAACTTAAATTTTTCGACTGATAATAATTACAGAAACTCTTTTTGAATACAGTGTAAAAGAATAACAAAAATAAATATGGCCCTGTTCGGGAGGGATTAA